AATCGTATTCTGATAAGCGAAAAACTGGAATGTACAAGAATATCATGTTCAATAAAATAAACGAGTTCATAGTTTATTCGCAATCACCACATGACCACTGCCCAAATCAGAAAGATGTGGCTTTTGTGTTTCGAACGCCTCCTCTTGATTNTTGGAATCAGGTTCTTTTTATTACACATTTTCGTGTGATGAACAGCAGACGGGGTAAACCCCATTGTCACGAGGATCTACTTTTCAGTGATGGAAACCGGTAACCTAAGCCCCAGGACTTGGAGTGGCAAACCACGTAAGGCCCTGATAGGTTAGGCGTGGTATTGAACCGGACGATAGCAAAGCTGCCTGCCACCTAAACTGGCAAGGGTTCACCAACTCGTTTATAGCCTCGGATTTTGGCGTTATGTTCCCCGCACCTTGGTGGTAAAAACCTATACCGTGGGAAGGCGGTGAGTAAGGCTTTCTTAGCGGATGCTGTTTAAAGCGCTTGGTCGTATTCGGGTATTTCGTGAGGTGGAAGAGAAGGATGACCAGTAACAACCCAAGACCTCTTCTCGACCATTCTCAGGCTTTCAGAGGGTTTTACTTGTCAAGATATAATTACAGGTAGTTCATTCGTCGCTTGTCTCACTTTTTGACTTCGCAAATCTTAGGATCCCCACGTTTTTACCGCACTTCCGACACCGGTTTTCTTTTATGCTGGTTTTAAGGTAAATCGCAGTATCCATCATCGGCGGTCCCCGATTATTCAGTCAAGAGAGGAGAATGTGATCGAAATTCAAGTTATAAATTGCCAGCGGATGAGATGATCAAATCACTTCATTTTAAGTCGTATTGTGAAAGAACTGTGTGAATTTCAGTGGGCTCACATTTTAAAATATGATGTTCGGCTCTAAGCTATTGCATATCATGGTTCACTAAAATCCTTATGTGGCAAAATTACCTCCAAATTTACACTGGGAGCGTCAGCATACTCCACTTCGATATTGATTTCACGCAGTTTGTTGTATCTTAATTAAGTTAAAATATGTCATCAGTTAGGACACATTGAAATAAAGCGTTAGGTCGTTTTTTGTCGAATTCCGGGATTAGATTCACAGATTTTTTAATTTTGATTTCAAACTTCAATTTTGAAAAATAGTTTATGACGTCAACTTGGTATCGTAACGGTGCATTTTCTATTGTAGACCAGGATTATGACTATATCAACCGGTATTGTATGAGCCATAGTATGGAGATCCCCACTTCCACGGTATATGAAATCGTGTATAACGGAATAATTTGTTTATGTTACCCGCGGCATTTCTGAACTGTGAATCTCGGGTAGACAGCCTTGACAAACTACGGGGTAAAATAAAAAACCTCTTGTCTTCTGGTTCCTGTGATTGTGTGTAGAACACGAGCCATTATCAAAATCTGATGCAATTGAATTTCACCGGTGGCCGAGATTTCCAACGGAGCTAAATGTCCACAAAGGACGGCGGTGAATACGTTTCAGGAAACTCAAATGAGTAATTTATGTTTATTTCAAGTAAATAGTTTTCATGTGCTTTCAAATGGTTTTATCCTGGAATGTTCCATTGCGTAATGCAAAGAACCGAAAAAGCAGGCAATAATGCAACTAGTTGAGCACGGGTTCGCAGTATGCAACCTATTCATTTCCTCAATTTTCTGTTATTTTTCAAGGACGAAACACATTCAATAAAAAAAACTGAAATGCAACTTCCTCTCTCTCTAGTAAATGCATATATTCTGAAACGAATGTGAGCACATTTGTCTCCCACTAATTAAAAATGCATGAAATTTTATTTCATTCAGTAATACGTTGAAATCGCAATTGTAAAATGAGTAAAATTCAAATAGTCGAAGGGATTTGTGCTTATATAACCATATTTGAGCGATTGAAGTTACGCATAACAATGACACAGGACTAAAGTACACAAATACACAAATACCTAATATACGTAGAATACGTATACTTGAACTTGGATCAATTACTCACATCTGGTTAGAAAGAAAGCTGAACTTTCTTTCGAAACCATGAAGAAAAATAAACTTATTTTTATGTTTCTGCAAAGTCTTCGATGAAATAATGTGTGCGATTCATTTCCAAAAGAGCGATTACACAACATAAAGTCCACAGAATTGAGTCAAATTAACTTAAGCTCGACGATATAGGGTGAATTTTGACAGAGGGATTTCAATTAGATCAAGAGCTCACAGTTAGCCGCCGCACACCCATCATATATGAACATCGCTACTTCAAACGACTGCTGAAATTCGGAAAGGAAACAATTCCAAGAGTTCCACAGTCTGAAATTTGCCTATTTCTCTGTGACTTCTTTAGACGACTTAGAAGGTAGATGCAGTTTGATCGTCCGTTCGATCCACCGACAACGACAAGTGATTGATCAACCAAATCATTCAGTGTTGTAAGGGGATAAAAGTTTGATTATACGTACAAAGAAAGTGTAGCCGCTTAAACAGTACACCAGATGGAATATTTTTCCGTCCATAACAATATAGTAGGAGATAATGTGCAGTGAATAATTGATGGGAGAAAAACAGAAGAATTTTTGAAATCATTTTGAGATTCCGGGTAACAACAAAAATCACTTTCGTTTCTCAAATCACTCTAAAACACTGCTTAAAATAAACTCCCTAGCCGAAAAATGTTCCTCTTATTAACTAACTGTTTTTTATTCGGTGGGATCATTGTTATTGCGAGTTTCGAAACTCCGGGAGATGTGCACCCAGTAGCTCTGTGCAAGAAGTAGACGAATTTTAGTCATGTAAAGCAGAAAGAACTATAGCTATGTGCGTTTGGGTTTTGCACAAATCCAAAGGGGTTAAGATCAGAAGGATTCAGTATCTTTTTTATTCACTCGTTTTGTAGGAAAACAAGGGGGGGGGGTTTCACCCATATATATTCATTTATCTTTAAAACAGCTATAAAAGTGAAATGCAAATAATTACAAACTGAGGTGTTACTTCGCTAATGGAATTCAGTTGGACAATAGGAACTTCTTACGGTTCTGTTAATCCACACTGCATTCAGCGATAAACCAAGTGCCTCGGCCATATTTTAGTATCCCAATACTTGATGTTTCACCAACTGGACCTATTAACCTCAGCTCCCTCTCTGATTACTTGGCGTTACAGGTGAACATTATTGATTTCTCCATTGAGGTCCTAGAAAGTCGTATTATTAAATCAATAAGTGCTACATAGAATTGGACCAGTATGCATCGTGTCTTGGATAATGCCAATTTTTACACGGATGAGATGAAGCTTATGTGCACGCCAAACAACATCATGGCTGCCCAAATGCCAGTAGAAAAAGAGATTTTGGATGGGAAACAATATTTCTTTTCTTGTCTTTTTCAGTTTACTTTCTTTTATTGAATATACAAAAATACAATTTTCAGGAAGGAGGAAGCGGCCAGTCAAAGGGCTGCAATTCATTAAAATATTTTCGGAAGACTTCTCCAATTTTGCTCTTGACAATACAGAAGAATTGAACAATTTGGTGAACCTCAATAAACTGGCAATGAAGAAACTTATCTGATTATTAACTTATTCCTGAAGTATATCCGTGTTTGATCTGTATCAGCCTAACATCTATCTATCTATCTATCTATCTATCTATCTATCTATCTATCTATCTATCTATCTATCTATCTATCTA